GAACAGGCTTCCTTCTTCCCTGCTTGACTGAGCAGGGTAACAACACATGCACACAAACCGACCTCGTTTCTGCACTTTTCGTTTGCCTGTAATAAGGGCCAAGTCCTGATCTTTCCACCCTGGGAATGCAGAGACAAAAACATCCCCTAGCCTGACCTGGAGCAGCCAGCAGGGCACAAGGGCCTGGGAGAGGGACAAAATCTTTCCTTTTCAGTGAAGGCTGTCTCAGAGCATAGTGCTTTTATATTTTTGAAGCAGCCAAGGCTTTGAATGCCCTTCTTCAGGGCCTTTTCCCCCCACAGACCAAGACCCTTTTTGCCTGCGCTGGTTCCTCTGTACCCCAGATCTTACAAACTAATAACAACAGGAGGCTTGATGCTGTCCTGAGGTTCTCCTCATGCCAGGCCTACCCTTCAGATCCCTATATCCACAAGCCAGGCCTGAGCTACGTGCCCATTTTAGCTATATCAGTGAAAAGAGCAAGAGAGCAAATTGCTCAGCCCCCTCCAACTATAACCCTAAGTGTGAATGCAAAAAAGCTAATACTACAGGTGACTTACACCCCTATAAGTTATTCCCTTTCCTGCCCAGGGTGAAGCATATATGTTCTTGAAACAGCACCTGCCACGGGGTTTATTACTTCAGCTTTACCAATATAATGAAAGCAGTACCATCTCCCACAGCATTCTTGCAAGCAAGCTGAGGAAGTATGGGTTGGATGAATGGACAGCAAGATGGATAGAAACCAGGTGGGATTGTTGGGCTCAGCAGGTAGTGATCAATGGCTCAATGTCTACTTGGCAGCTGGCATCAAGTGGAGTGCCCAGGGGCTGGTCCTGTTCAATATCTTCATTAACAATCTGGAAGATGGCATGCAGTGCACCCTCAACAAGTTAATGGATGACACCACGCAGTAGGGTGCAGTAGATCCACTGAAGGGTAGGGCTAGGATTCAGAGTGACCTTGACAAATTAGAGGATTGGGCCAAAACAAATCTACTGAAGTTCAACAAGGACAAGTGCAAAGTCCTGCACTTAGGACAGAGCAATTCCATGCACCAGGACAGGCTGGGGGTGACGGGCTGGGCAGCAGCTCTGCAGAAAAGGACCTGGGGGTGACAGTGGGCAATAAGATGGATATGAGCCAGCAGTGTGCCCTTGTTGCGGCATCCTGGGCTGCATTGGTAGGAGCATTGCCAGCAGATCGAGGGCAGCGATTCTTCCCCTCTATGTGGCACGGGGGAGGCCACATCTGGAGTCCTGTGTCCAGCTGTGGGCCCCCCACTACAGAAAGGTTGTGCACAAATTGGAAAGAGTCCAGTGGAGGGCAAGGAAAATGGTTGTGGGGCTGGGGGGCCGGGCTGGGTTGATTTAGTCTGCAGAAGGGAAGACTGAGGGAGATTGAATAGCAGCCTTCACCTCCCTGCAGGGTGGATCCAAAGGGGCTGGAGCTGGGCTGTTCTCAGTGGGGGCAGATGGCAGGACAAGGAGCAATGGACTCAAGCTGCAGCAAGGGAAGCTGAGGTTGGATGTTAGGAAAAACTCTCTCACAAGGAGGGTGGTGAAGCACTGGAACAGATTACCCAGAGAGGTGGTGGAGTCGCCATCCTTGGAGGTTTTTAAGTCCTGACTCAACAAAGCCCTGGCTGGGATGATGCAGTTGGAGCTGGTCCTGCTTGGAGCAGGCGGGCGGACTAGATGTGACCTCCGGAGGTCCCTTCAACCCTCCTTGCCTATAATTCTATGATCATATGTGCAGATGAAGCTTTACTTTAACCCCAGTTCATAAGAAGTGGTTTTCACAAAACCAGGCATCTCACTGACACTAACAGCAAATCAGACCAAAGCAAAGGCCAAGAAGTGAAACTGCTGTGAAATGGACTAGAAACAAAACCCCGCTCGCTCTCTCTCTCTCTCGCTCTCTCTCTCTCTCTCTTTTGGGTCCTAGATGGTGTGGTTTTTAGGCCCCTGAGGTCAATGGCTGAGCGCAAGGCAGACTGGATGGGCAGAGAGGGGTGGATAGACAGATGCAGCGAGAACAAAATGGCAGGCTGAAAAGCAACTGAGATCATTCTGTTCCCATGCCTTCAGGTCCTGCAGTCTCAAATGCGGCAGTAATCACTGAGGAAGGGAGGAGGAGGGAATTGGCAATGGCTATGCTGCGCAGTTGCTTTTAATAGTCACTCCATCAAGTTACATAAGCCTAGGCGAGGCAATTAGGCGCATGAAGCTCCATCCTGGTGCCAGCAGGAACCGCAGCCAGGCTCCAGTTTTGACAGGCTCCTACCCGCAGGAAGGCGGGTGGGGGGAGGAACCCAATGGCCGGATCTCATTTATCTCTAGAACTCACTGGAATTTCCCCAGGCCCTGAACAGGCTTGCACGGCCCCAGCAACGTGACCCACGCAGCTGCTTTGTTCTCCTCTCCCTTCCTCCCACCTCAGCTTCCCCATTGGATCGGCTGCCCACGCTTGTGCAGGCAGCCTGCCCGGCAGGAGATTGGCTCTCTGGCTGTTGCTAGGCTGAAGTCCCTTCCCCCTCCCCGATAAGCATCATCCCAACTGGGCTTCGAGATGCCTGGCGTCTTTGTGCATTTCTAATAAATGCCTTTTAACGCTGGGGGTTCTCCACTGTGCAAGGCCCCTGCCTATACTCCTTGCCATGCTATCCCTTCCCCTGCTGGGGTCTCTGGCATCCCTTTGTCCCTTCCTCCTACCGTCTCGTTTCCTCCATGACTTGACACGCCTGGCCCCTCACTCCCATTCTCCTTGCCCACCCCTGTTGGCTGGTATCAGAACCCAGGCTCCCCCCATCTTGCTCTGCTTTGCTCCTCTCTATCACCGTGTGAACCATCCTTTGTCTCAGGTGAACCCATCCCAGAAACGGGCCACTCCTTTTGGCACTGTGCCTTAACAAGAGACCAGCTGGTCTTCTACCATAAAGGGTAGAGGGATATTGTAGCCAAGCTGGTCCAGGAACCATGCGAAAGACACGGATTTTTTGGGGGGTGATATGGGATCAACTGCATGGTTGGAATCAAGTTAGACAAGTTTTTGAATGCAAGACATTCTTCATCCAGTCAAGGAAACAGGACTCCTCCTTTAGAAGCCCAGAATGCTAGCTCTGGCCTCTGTCCTTGCCCCTTCACCCCCATCTGGAATCAGTAAAGGGTGCTGGACACAGGACGTGCACACAGCCCCCCTCCCGAGAGCAGCCTCACTGAGTCAGGCACAGTGAGTGTGGCCATTTTGTGAACAGCAAGGACGTGCAAGGCACCATAAAGGGAGAGGGGCACAGCAGGAGCAGGCTGCAGCAGCATTTGAAGCCACTTCTGCCCACGGGGCCGGGGGCAAGGCATTGGGTGTGAAGCGTTCAGGGCAAAGCCTGCTGCTGCTGCCTTGCGCTCCTTCCCGCAGGCATATGGCAGAGAGAGAAAGGATGACTCAGGAGTGCATTAGCAACGCACCAGAGACGTCTAGATATATGGTTCAGAGAGACAGGAGGAACACAGAAGCGGGTGGGCTATCCGGCATGTTTTACTGGAGCCAGGATGAAAAAGATAGACCCATGAGCGTTCACTTCCCACTGCCCCACCATTCCCAAAGGATGGGAGGCAGTCTGGATTAACAAGACCCCTCTCTCCACACATCTCCACAGAGGTTTTTGAATGGGGCCAGCAGAAGAGTAGCAAAATTACCCCAAACTGTAATGCTTCCTAATAGAATCACAGGAGACAGGCAGGGTAGATTTGCACCTTATAAACTACATCAGAGATGTACGGCACGAGCTTTTGTGAGTCCTCATCAGATCAGGAGGGCACCTAGTCCAACTCCCCTGCTCGAGGCAGGACCATCCCTAACTGAACCAGCCCAGACGAGCAC